CCCCAAAACCCCAAAACCCCAAAACCCCAAATAGGCTGGGCATGGTTGAAATTAGCCTGAAATCCTGTCAAAAACTGATTGGAGATACCTTGGTTCGCTTTCTAAGTATCTGCTCTGAGAAATCAGAGTCAGATTTACTCAGAATTGAGCAGTCAAATGTATCCACTCTCATAATTTAGTGGGAATGAGTGCAGCCACATGAAGAATAATCTTTTGATGCAAAATATTTATCAGAGATATTGATAATTTATGAAATTTTTATTGTTAAATTTAAGATACTCGAACCAAATGTACTCTTCTTATTGATCATTGCAACTGTAAACTAATGAAAAGTTAAAGCGGAAAGCAGCTAGGTTTTCTTCACTACAATTCAGAACAGAATTTTGATAGTTAAATGAAAGCTATGAAGCTTATCTTGAAGAGGAACTAGTTGGATTATTGCCAAGATAGAAAAATTTATAATTTACAAGGATCGTACTTGACCCTAAAAGTTCTAAGTACCCTGAGAAACTCTATTAATATCCCGATTTTTTTTAAAACTTTATGCAAAAAGTTCTTAGCTTGGAAGTCTGATGGTCTTGGCCATATCTTTGTCACTTCTGGGTGGCTTTTCAAGATTCTTAAGTACTTGCTGAATATGCTCGTTCTCTTCTCCTTTTTCCTCCTTAAGTTCTAAATATCCGATGAGGTTGTGACCCAACTAAGGTTGCGCAACGATGGTATGCAACTACTTACTATTGAACTGTCTTTCATTGAGGGTCTTCCAGAGTTCTTTTGTAGCATCGTCCTATATCGGGATTATTCCAAACTTCTGGTATGGCTTACAGTTGCGTATGTCCTGACTATGTTGCGTTATGAAGGCAAGCTTACTTATGTAATCGCAGTGCAATATGTTCGAGGATGAGCCATTCTTTTTAGCACTGACAAGTTTGTGCATACAGTCGTGCTCTATGGCAAATTCCATCACTTTTTGAGCAAGCTCTTCGTCTTTCTGTGGGGTTAAGGGTATCTTACGTTGTATACTAGGCTTTCAAGTGGATTGATGAAATATTGTTTATTTCCTAAAACAATATCGAAGATTTCTCTAGCCTTCTCAGACCATTCGTTCTCTGGTTTGATGGTCTCTACAAAGAGGACCTTCATGAGCTTCCAGAGGTCGCCTGAAAAGGTGATTATCTGCACTAAAGAGTCAAATTTTTCAAGTCTGAACATGGACAAGAAGAGTTGACGATATACTTCAGCTTGCTTACTAGCTAAATTGAAGTTATCATTGAGCATTTCCTCCATGATAAGGTACAACTTGTCGCAACCAAGATGGATAAACAAGTCACCGAAAACAGTCCACATCTTAAGTCTATAAGTCTCAGGATAAACTGTCTTGTAAGGATTGATCTCCTTATATGAGTTATTTGGATCTTCAAGTTCTTTGATAGGCGTGATACTCTTCTGGAAGAGCATGTAGTTTTCCATAGCTTCTACATCAGGTATAAATTTTTGAATCAAAGGATGCTCATAGGGGAGGGTCTTTCAAAGACACCAGATGATCTACATAAGTTATTCTACAAGGCTTACTTCAGGGTAAAAGATCTCATAATCTGTCTTATTAGCAAGAAAATCTTCACTAAGATAGTCAAGCATCTCATCAGAAACTCTTTTGGCAGGATCTTCGTTGTTGACAGTCTTCAAGGCCTCTTTGAGAGCAAAGGATGGACTTATCATGCTGTAGTTAGTGAATAGATCTAAGTCAGTCATTTTTATGTTGCTAGTTTTAATTATATCTTATGATATAAATAGGGGTTTTGGGGTTTTGGGGTTTTGGGGTTTTGGGG